ATATTCTGCTTATTTATAGATACCATAAATAATACACCGCTCACCCAATGTAATCAGAAGACATGAAAAGACCTTTTGGAATAAGACGCCTGAAAATTCCATAAATTTTAGAAGACATTTATAGAGAAACAGTGAATTTTCCTTCCACTTTTTTTCTTATTTTGCCAGTATAAAGAGGTCACTGGAGTGCAATCTGTGTTATGTCTCCTAGTCTTATAAATGTCACACTAAAAGATTTTTAAGTGAGGAATATCTCTATGTGGCATTGATGGGGCATGCTGTTGAACATGGACCTTTTATGTATACAAACAATAACAAAGGGGGAAAAGGGGCTATAAATCTTTGGGCGTGCGCTGTGTAAGGTACAATTTAGCCCCCCCCCCCCCTACCCTGCCTTATGTAAGGTTAAAAATGTAAACAAACATGTAACATGGTGCCCTATATGTCTGGTACACGAGTGTAAATCCATGATTTCGACAGAAGAAAATTGCAAGAATATAAGAATGTAAAGACAAAAACAAAGTAATCGATCTCATGTTGTAATGACAATTGATTTAGGCTCTTGTCGTAGAGTTATTCTCATGATGACAGATCAAACACATTGCCAGAAAAACGTTGAAGGATACTCCCTTATCATTTGTTGACACAAAATTCATGTAAGAACTAGGCCTGCATGTGTACTTTATAATATCTGGTATGGCTATTGGGAGAGTTATGGGTTTTATTTTCTTATTTCAATTATTATTTCATTTTACAAATCCTTAATGGCTTGCAACTTTTAAATTGGCCACCCTTCATGTTACTGTAGAGGCCATACAGTCATCTGTTTATTTCACCTCAGGTTTTTTCCACAGATATTCTTATTCTTCACAAATTACAGTGAAACCTGAATACAAAGACCACTTGAAGGAAACAGGAAAAGTGGTCTTCTTTGGACAGGTAGTCTTTATGTACTTTTTTTTGTTGGTAAAGTAAAATAACCTAACAAACAGTATACAAAAAAGCAACTACCGGTAAACAAAGCCAATTTAGGAAGTCATATGTCTTATTGCAGCCAAACTTTGAAATGGTAGCAATCCCTGTATAAAGTTCAATCATTATCCTCCATCCATCTGTAGCCTTTATCAACATATATATTACTCAAACTGACTCTCTCTCACTATCTTTTATGCTAATCTAAGCTTCGCAGTATGTTTCTAAACTTAAAGGCCCTAATCCTTCCTCCATCAAAACAAAATCCATACAACCTCATAGAGGTTCTTTTGAAAAGCCCTTCAATAAATCATTCCTTTCTCTATTGAGTAAGAAAAGAAAGAGATCCATATACCCGTCAATTGACCCTCTACTATACTCGTCTAGGGGACACAATGGCCATCAGGTCACCCCCTTTATAAAGCCAGCCAAAAGGAGACACATTAGGACTTCTCTTTGTAAGAGGGCGCAAATCCGAGACGCTTTTTGGTCGAAGGCGGCTCGCCTGACCGACTTTCCATTGAGACCCATTGAAGGCAGCATCAATGGGCTTGTATGGGTCTATGAGTGTGAGTGCCGGGATGTAATGCTCTCTTTCCAGCACAATAGGTGTGTTGGCAAAACATTGGCTTGGTTGCATCTTGAATGGGGTTCCTGAATAGAATGGTCTTAAAGGGGGAGATCAACGCTTTGTGCTGCTACGCTACGCGTCGGACCATGTGCATATAGCCTTCAAACTCTAATTGAAGTAGTGGTCGTAAATAGTCAAATTGTTGTATTATTTACTTCAGAATAGGATTTGTACATAGATTTGTCTCTTTCAAGAAGTTCATATAGTGATATTAATGGAGATACTTTTACAGGTATTTCTTTGAAGCGCTATTCCCCATTTTCAAGTCGATCGATCAAACTGTGGTTGCAAACCCTGACAAATTTCAATGTAGGTAGACTCTATGAATACTCTGGCCACAACCCTAGTTGATTTTCACATGCGAAATTATACTTTTGCTATATCTGTTCCCTATATTTTTTATGTACCTATCCCCAAGAAATCCAGCCTACAGTACCAGTATCTAAAATATGAATTTTGTTATTTTCAACTCTTCAACTCAACTTTTATTCCAAATCCTTAGCCTAGAAGTATGTTTAAAAAAATATTTTTTCTATTTGTTTATAAGAGAATAGAATAAAAAATAGTCTAGTCTCCTACTCTTAGGAAGTACCATGAAAATATAGAGAAAATCCGCCACCCCCCCCCCCCAAAAAAAAAACCCAGAAAAACACGACCAGTAAGATGACAATGGGCCTTTTCTCTTGACTCATTTTGCATGCCTACCTGTACATAAGCTATGTAATAGAGACCCTTCAAGATTTATCCAAGAACAAGACCCCAATATCCTAGCCTTGAACCTCAACCACCCTCTTCACATTTTTTGAGGGGTGTTAGTCTCTGAATTTGTGCACTTGACTGACTTTTGGGCGACAAAATACAAACGATCGATATCTTCCTCTAAAATCAAGGGTTTGTAGCTTATGATCTTGTAGGCCACAATGATGTACCTATAGACTAGAAAACTTTTTACTTTACTGTTAGTTAATCATTTCTCATGTCAAACTGTTGAAAATTACGACATTTGAGGCTAGATTTTGTTTGACGCCTACTTGAATTTTCCTCCTGCTCAGTTGTGTATGATAGAGAAATTTATTTTGATTGCCGTTTTGAGTTTCGGCTCATTTGTTTTTAAGGTAATAAGCAAAAAGGCTGCATTTCTGCAAGACAGTTTTTCTATTTCAATATTTCAATATGATTATGATTTGAAAAAAGACATTCAAAACAAATACATATACATTAGTAACAGAAAATGTAATCAGATTATTTTGGACATAATATTATGTTATTTCCTGATGTTTTATTTTATAATTATTTCACCAATGGAGTAATGAATGTTTGCAAAGTAGGTTTAATGACTCAACATAAGATATGGCTCAAAATGAAAGAAAGGAGTCTGAATGTTTTGCGGCATAGACTAGTACTCCATCTGGCCCCACTTATTATACCACACCTGTCGAATCAAGGAGCCGTTGATGGACCGCATCTATTCAAATTTATTCCATAGTGCTCTCGTTTGCCAAGTGAGCATTACCCCACCTCGAGCCAGTCGAGCCGCCGTCACAACACGTAGCCCACGTCCCAGCGTGGAGTGAAAAGAAAAGGGGGTTGGGCGGTTGCCCCTCTGTAGGGGCTGGATTGACAGGAACAAATAAACAATGGGCAAGGAGAGTACATGCAACGCAGGTCTACTATAGGAAAACATCATATCATTGTTTCAGAGTCTCTGTTTTAAAGTATCTGAGTTAAAGCCCTCCTGGATCCAAACATATGCCCTGAAATGTTAAATGTTCAATAGTAAATACCTTTTGTAGGCCTATGTTTCATTTGCAATTACAGTCAAACCTGATTTAGTGACCACCTGTATAGAAAGACTGTCTACAAAGACCACATCTATGTTTCCCTTGATAATGGTTTCTCATTGAAACATGTACTAAAGGGACCTGTATATAAAGAGCACCTGCCTATAAAAAGACCACTTTTTAGTCTCCCTTGGGTGGTCTTTATCTACAGCTTTCACTGTATCTTTAGAAACCTTCTGTAAGAATCCTCTTTTATCTTTTCCTCTAGTCACATCGATGTTATCAGGTTGTCTAATGTCTAACTTTGTTGAAATCTTCTGTTGTTTAGGGACATCTTCTCATCTTCCCTCATTTTTTTTGGAGAGCTTTACTCTCCTTATTTCACTTCTTAATCTTAACCCCCATCCTCCCTCTTACACATAAGGTAATTATTTTCACTTGCATAATGTACTTTTCATATATATGTGGTGATAGGTCAATGCCAACTGATTTTGTAAAATCAATTGAGAATATGGTGATCATGTAGCTTGCAGCTTATTTCCTGTTTCAATACACAATAGAAAATATATTATATGAAGGAAAAAAAAACTGTGTGAGATACTTCAATTTCACAGGAGATAATAGAACGATGTTTCATATCTTTCTAACTCCACGCAATACTGTTTTATTGCAGGGATAGGAATTTGTAATTTGAATAGATCAAACATATGCGCAGTGATTTAATTACACTTGTGATGTACTAAAATTTTGACTTTGAAAAGCCTGACTGACATTTAATAGAAAAACTGTGTAATGTGTAATTTGAATAGATCAAACATATGCGCAGTGATTTAATTACTCTTGTGATGTATTAAAGTTTTTGCCTTGAAAAGCATGACTAACATTTGATAGTTAAAAATATTTGAATGAGGTATGTATGTCTGGGTGGATGTGGGGGGAGGAGGGGGGGGGGTTATAGGAGGTCTTGGTTGATGCTGAGGGGAAACTTTCATCATGTGATTATCATTAAAATATTTTTAACTATCAAATGTTAGTCATGCTTTTCAAGGCAAAAACTTTAATACATCACGTTGTCCTTCACTACATCAGTTTAAATCCGACTTAAAAACATATCTGTTTCGATCATGCCAGTCTTAAATTTAAATTTATGTAGTAAACATGTGAGTTTTGTAATTGATTTGATAATTGTAATTGCTAAACGGTGAAAGCTCAATATTCTTCATGTCTTTTCTCTCTCTCTCTCTCTCTCTCTCTCGTATCTAAGCGCATAGAGACAATTTTGTAATATGCGCTATATAAGAATTGAACATTATTATTATTATTATTATTACTGTATGCAAAAGTGACAAAACTAGAGAGCTTGAACATTCCCTTACAGGCTTATTATTCATCTATGTTCCCTTGTCTGCCATAGAACAGAAGTTCTTGATAGATACAAATACCAATTATTATCATTATTGTTGTTGTTGTCATTATTATTATTATTATGTGATTTGTTATTAAATTATTGGATGTACATGTAGTGTATTGTAGACAAGTTCGATAGAACCTGTACAAATTATTCAATATTGACATTGGAGTGAAGAGCGACTTTCTTTCCTAACAGTTTATATCCTATTTTATATTTTACAGACGTGCAATTATCAAGAACCATGACTTGAGGCCGGACACCGCCCTCACCCAGCTCCTGACGAACGACTTCTGGGGCACTCCCATCAGACACAGCGGCTCCCACAAGTCATACCGCCCTCTATGTGTGCTGTCGTTTCGTCTCAACTACGCAGTCGGCGAGCTCGACCCATTTGGATACCACCTCACCAATGTCGTCCTGCACGTTATCGCGACAGGTCTCTTCGTCAGCATCGCTAGGCGATTTTTAAGAGGGAGCCCATCCGTTCTCTTCGCAGGGTTGCTTTTCGCTTCTCACCCCATTCATACGGAGGCGGTGGCTGGTGTTGTCGGCCGGGCTGATGTCGGTGCTTGCATCTTTACGCTTCTCTCGTTCATAAGCTATGTAAACTCCTGCAATTTAAAAAGCACCAATATACAAACGTTAGACACGCATGATGCAGATAGACAAACTGAAGAGGATTTCAGGAGAACGGTTGCTAGGAGACGCATCGTCTTCCTGATACTCAGTGCGGTAATGACGTTTTGTGCTACATTTACAAAGGAGCAAGGAATCATGGTCGTTGCAATAAATGCTGCCTATGAGGTCTTTGTGGTACACCAAATACGCATCCGAGACTTGCCAAAGATATTTTACAAGGTATGAATCTTCTTTCTACTTATTGTTCTCATGCATTTAATGCTTAAAACAAAATCATTTGTATAGATCGAGCCAGAAAAGCAGTAACTCTGTAAGATTAAACTCACCCTACTTGACTTTAAAAAATATCTGAAAACATACCTCTAGAACTAAGGGACAGTGCCTTGTATCCTCTGCAAAAGGCACTATACAAATCTAGTTTGTATTATAATTATTATCATCGTCATTAATATGATATGGGATAATTCTTTCTGCCTCTCAGATAACGATGTACTCGATATATAGAGGCTTTTTTTTAAATCATTTTCATTTGCAGTGTTTTATAGCCTTCACCCTTTTGGTTCTTGTACCCCATCCCCTTTTTTTGTGGCTGAAATACAGCATGACTTCGAGCATGGCAACAATGTAGTTATCTTTTTTTTTGTGTTTGAAGAAAAGAAATTGACGCTGAAACAGAGAGATGACTTTACTTTTTCCCTAATAGAGGTACTGCAAGTCATAATTTTACCATTTATTTCTCGCCAGCAAGCAAACGCACAGATTTACCATATTGGTAGACTTGGATAATGAAGAGATATTGTACTTATAATATCCAGAGCTGCCCTGATGAGGATAATAAGGTATTGGACTATAGAAATTAGCTGAAAAGCTAGCTGTGACCATGTATTAAACAAAGATAACCATCACTCAACGATTCCAGTAGCATCAATCCAGTGGGTGTATAGTGAAAACAGCGAGCGGGCAGTCTTTGTAAAAGATAAGATCATATCTGACCCATTCATAAACTAGAGTGATGGATGATTGGAATAAGAACTGAAAAAGAGATAAAAAATAGCCATTGATATAGTGAGGGCATCTGCGCCGGAGGGCCAGTGGTAGATAGAATTGGGTTTGTGAACTTGAAAGGTATAGCTACCAATGGACAGTTAACCGGTGGTAGAAAACTAATTAGGATTAAAGTATGAGGGTGTTACCTTCAAGAGAAGGCTGGGTTGTGCATGGGAAAAGGTGAAAAATAGTTTGTCAGCTTTTTTCCATTGTTTACCCTTATGGAAATTGGTGCAAGCTTGCCGCGAGCTTGCAGTGCAAGCTTGCAGCAAGCTTGATCTGCGAGCTTGTTTCAAGCTCACCCGTGAGCTTGTTTCAAGCTCGTTACTAGCTTGCAGGGTTCCAAAAATGCAAATGAGTTATATCTGTCAGCCAATCAAAACAGAGGAAATATATTTTCAGGTCTAACAATCTGCAAGCTTGCAAGCTTGCCTGCGAGCTTGTTGCAAGCTTGCATGTAAGCTTGCAGCAAGCTTGCATGTAAGCTTGCAGCAAGCTTGTTGCGAGCTTGCAAGCTTGCAGATTGTTAGATCTGAAAATATATTTCCTCTGTTTTGATTGGCTGACAGATAAACTCATTTGCATTTTTGGAACCCTGCAAGCTAGTAACGAGCTTGAAACAAGCTCGCGGCAAGCTTGAAACAAGCTCACACAGCAAGCTTGCAGATATTGAATTATATTTGCAGGTCTAAAAATCTGCAAGCTTGCGCAAGCTCCCAAGCTTGCCTGCGAGCTTGCATGTAAGCTTGCAGCAAGCTTGTTGCGAGCTTGCAAGCTTGCAGATTGTTAGATCTGAAAATATATTTCCTCTGTTTTGATTGGCTGACAGATAAACTCATTTGCATTTTTGGAACCCTGCAAGCTAGTAACGAGCTTGAAACAAGCTCGCGGCAAGCTTGAAACAAGCTCACACAGCAAGCTTGCAGATATTGAATTATATTTGCAGGTCTAAAAATCTGCAAGCTTGCGCAAGCTCCCAAGCTGGTAAAAAAAGAGAAGCGTGCAATCTTGCAGCGAGCTTGCATGCTTTTGCAAGCTTGCGTGGTAAAAAATCCAAATGGTACCCTCAGCCAATTACAAAATATGCAAGCTTGATGTTAGCTCGTCGCAAGCTTGCCGCAAGCTTGCTACAAATTAAATGGAATAATAGTAACAGTATGGACAATAACATTGACAGAGATCTACAAAAGATACATCATATATGTATCAACTGGTTTTAATGTTACCTGAGTTTTAAGTACATTTCAAAGACATTGTAGTGCTGCAGCTAGACTTCTGAATACTTGTACATGTAATAACGACTGTCTGAAAACATTGACAAAATATTATTCACACTTTTGATATCTCTATAAAAAAAAATTCCCTCTCAAAAATGAAAGAAAATGAAAGGTATTGCCATGGCAAGTCTGGCACAAATTGAATACATAGAAGTGGAGAAAATTTGTTCCCGAAAGACCTGTGGGTGCCATCTTTTTTGGGGGAAAAAACACATAGATCTAGGTCTAGATCTAGTCTAGTCTAGTAGTATAAAACCTATACCTTTTCACAATTGATGTAAAAACATACACGCACGCACGTCAACACAAACACACACACTCAGAGACACAAACGGGGTTGAACAAAATGCAGATAATTAATGGATTTTGTTGAATCATTTTTTTCTCTCCCACTTTACCTTTGTTACCTGTTTACCGCACACACACACACACCCTCACACACAAACCCTTAGAATCAAGGTAAAAACTAAAACACACACACATATACAAACAAAGAGGTAGAGAGATAGACTGAGAAATTGCGTCCAGAGCCGTTTCAGATTATACTAGATCTAGAATTGGAAGTTATGGGCCTATAACTAGTCTAGACCTAGTCCTGGTCTAGACCTAGACCAGCTTAAACCAGAGACTATCGCCCACACTGACCCTGTCAAATTCAAAATTGCCCTGACGTCCCCACATCTACAAACTAATATACACCCTACCCGATAAGTTAAAACTCAGACGAGTATCTTGGAGGACCAACCGACTAAGTACCAAGTAGACTAGGCTACCAACTAGTACTACCTAGTCTAGCTAGTTTAACTAACATTTTTTTGGTGATGTGGGACTGAGTCTGAGTTTTACATTATTTAATGAAAAATTATCAAATTATTACAATTTTCCTGTTTTATTTTCATTTTAATATTGCTTTCCAGAGATTTATATTTTAAATGTTGTTGTGAATTATTATAATGTAAGTGCAATATCTCACAAGTACTTACCATTTTGAAGTTGATTCACACTTGACCAGTTCACAAAATGTTCAACAAAACTTTGAACCAACCACAAAAAATGAACTATCTTGGAATGGCCAATAGAGGGCGCGTGACATTTTTCTGATTAGGATCTTGTTGGCACTGGGAGTGTTATCTTTGGAAGTCAATAACTTTTTAGTAAGAGAAGTAATAAATATAAAATTTTCACAGTGTAATAAATGAATATAAATGCATTTTTTACAGTAATTCTTTAGGATTTTCATTGTTTCCTCTTTTTTTACAGATACGAACAAAAAGTGATAAATTATGATTTTAGTGAAAAAAGTCAAAAAATTACATTTTAAACCCTAAAAAAGGTTCAAAATATCATCAAATATTATAAATATTCATATCATGTGATAGATAATTTCATTATCTTTCATTAGACACAATATTCATTAAAATTGAGGCTCTTTTTAACAAATGACATGTAAAAAACAACTGTTAGGCGAAATCAGGGTCAAATAAAGGTCATTGACCTCTGAAATCAGGCTCCACCACCCACAACACACAAGACATCACTTTTCAGACATGTCTTAGGATGTTTTATCCAAAAATTAAAACAAAACACTTGGTCTTTTTTGTCAATTAAAGAAATACATCAGGCAATTGGACTATTAGTTTTGCTTTTGTTTAAGAATATAGTTTTTGAATCAAATCGTTTTCCGGCTAGATTTTAGCAAGGTTTGATTAAACGCTCATTTAAATTATATATTTCGTTTCAACCATTTTTGTTGACTCTTGCCTGGTCTCTCGTAAATCACAGTGAAAAAGGAAATCATTTTTAGAGTGTTGGATGGTGTACCTTTTTGTACAGTGAAAAGTGAGTCATGATGCGATATTTAATGTTTGTTTTATGATCATCCATCTTTAATCCTTTTTCAAAGGTATAATGCGCTATAAGAACTGTACTATTATTATTATATGTGTATAAAGATCCCCTATTTTATACCTCATTAGCAAAGAATCAAAGGTTTTGAGATAATTATTGAACAATTTAATTGTGCATATAAACTTTTGTGCTGTATGTTTACAGTGACAATAATTTGGTCATAGATGGGGTTTGTCCATAGCAGTCTGACATAAGTTTGCGGCAAGCTTGGCAGGGCTTTAGATTGCACCCAGCAAGCTCCGCAAGCTTGCTGCAAGCTTGCAGGGCATACACTGTCGGCCTGCAAGATTGCCAGGGCTTTAGATTGCGCTCCTGCAAGCTTGCAGGGATATCCTCTTTGTCTGCAAGCTTGCAAGAGCTTTAGTTTGCGCCCCTGCAATGTCCGCAAGCTTGCTGCAAGCTTGCAGGGCATACACTGTCGGCCTGTAAGATTGCCAGGGCTTTAGATTGCGCCCCTGCAAGCTTGCAGGGATATCCTCTTTGTCTGCAAGCTTGCAAGAGCTTTAGTTTGCGCCCCTGCAATGTCCGCAAGTTTGCTGCAAGCTTGCAGGGCATACACTGTCGGCCTGTAAGATTGCCAGGGCTTTAGATTGCGCTCCTGCAAGCTTGCAGGGATATCCTCTTTGTCTGCAAGCTTGCAAGAGCTTTAGTTTGCGCCCCTGCAATGTCCGCAAGCTTGCTGCAAGCTTGCAGGGCATACACTGTCGGCCTGTAAGATTGCAAGGGCTTTAGATTGCACCCCTGCAAGCTTGCAGGGATATCTTCTTGGCCTGCAAGCTTGCAGCAAGCTTGCATGAATATCTCTCTTTGCCTGCAAGCTTGCAGCAAGATTGCTGTAAGATTGCGCGCAAGTTTTGCAAGCTTAAATTTGTAATGCAATCTTATTAAGCTTGCCGCAAGCTTCTAACAAGCTTGTAACAAGCTTGCCGCAAGCTTAAGTTTCTGTAAGGGTACCTTTATTGTAGAAGAGTGTAATAGAAAAATGAC